TATTAAGGATAATAGAAGTGATGTAAATGAAGATAATTGCTTTTCACGTCATTGTATGAAAAGTATGTTCTGATTCATAAAGTAGAAATTTTGTCTTTATCTTTCGTAGCTGTCATGAAGAAAAACATCAGCACACACCTTCAAGAAGTGGGAGAAATAATAACATAAAGAGGTATTTCTTCTCTGATAGTATCTCTTCTGCCTACACACCTCTCTCATCAACTCTCATTATCATATTCTTGGCAACTTAAATCAACCTTTTCAAATACAATATGAATTTGATACTTGACATCTATATACTACTAAAACTGTTTGTTTGTAATATTCAATTAACCCAAAAAGTGCATCATAGTGCAAACAATTTTGAATCAAGATACCTCAAATCCAGCAACTTAAATAATGCATAGAAAATTCAGAATCCATTATTCTTGTGTAATTGAAATGTCAAGGATATTCACACAGAAATGTCAAGGATATTCACACACAAAGTTGTGCTTCCTGCAGCATCACCATAGTTAGCTGTAGTCATCTGATCATGATTTCCAATGCTCTCTGCCTACTTCCCACAAGCAAAGTCAATGGGAAGTCAATCAAAAATTGGAAGTCACTCCTGCTCCCACTGCTTTTTTGTCCATGTAGTTCCTTCTGTTTTTCTGTTTGGGTAAGGATGACCCAATGGGTAATGGCTTGTCTAGTATATTATAAAATTAACTGAGTAAAATTTAGAAAGTATTCTTTCCTTGAATTTAAAATGAGTCTATTCTGCTTTCTATCTTACAATATTGAAATGGTGCAAAAGTCACAGAACCCAATTTATTTCTATTTAACACTTAACTTTACTGAAATAAATGACATTACTTAAGAATAGAATGAGAATGTATCCTCACTTTCATGATGACAATGCACAGCATGAAATGATTAGGAGACATCCTTTACTACACAGACAGAACTGAGACTGAGTTTCTACATATAGGTTGTCCTTGTTTAATGACCACAATTAGGACTTGTTCTACATATAGGTTGTCCTTGTTTAATGACCACAATTAGGACTGGTAAATCAGTTATTAAGCAAAGTGGTCACTAAGTGAAGTCATGACTATGTTTATGATCTTATTTAAGTTTTCCTTTCCTTATAGATTTGCAAAGGTTGTAAATGCAAGGACTGGTTGTAAAGTTACTTTTCAATCATTTGTTCAATGTTATACTTCTGTTCAGCATGTAACAATACTCCCCCCATAAAAAGATAAGAACACTAGTTCACAACCAGTCAAATCAAATAAAAATAAATCTTTATTCTGATACACAGTTAACTTACCAATGAAATAGAATTAGAAGGCTTTAAAGCAATAAGTACTAAAATTATCACAGAAGGCACATATCTCTCTAAAGGTTCCAGAAAAATCTATATTTTATTAATTATTTATGAGCAGTCCTTTAAGAATGTTTATCCCTTTTGATTAGCTTGTTAGTGTTTCAAGAAAATTACTGTACTGTAGGATTTTTTTGTGGGTGTTCTTGTAAGATTTAATTCAGAAGAATAGGAACATGAATGCAGCAGATGCCTGCAATTCATTACAAGCTGTCCTTGACTTACAACAGGTCATTTAGTGACCATACAAAGTTACAACACCACTGGAAAAAGTGGCCTATGATCATTTTTCACACTTATGACTATTTCAGCATCCCTTTGGTCACAAGATCAAAATTCAGATAGTTGGCAACTGGCTCATATTTATGACAGTTGCAGGGTCCTGCATCCATTTTTGTGACCTTCTTATTAGCAAAGTCAATGAGGAAGCCAGAGTCACTTAACAACCATGTTACTAATTTAACAGCTGCAGTGATTCACTTAACAAGGGAATCAAACAAGGCAAGAAAGGTCGTAAAATGGACAAAATTCACTTAAATGTTTTGCTTAGCAACAGAAATTTCAGGTTCAGTTGTGGTCGTAACTCAAGTACTACCTGTGCAAGTCATGAACGCAAATCATGTTGCTCTGCAAGATCATATGGTTACGAAGAGAATTTCAATCCAGCCATCAGCTCTGGTAAACAAATACAGGTGTTTGCATGAGTCACAAAAAAATGTTGCATTCACACTCCAAAGTGCCTTTTCAAATAAAATCATCGGGGCTAGTGGATGCCAACAATATTATTTCACCAATATTGAAAATTAAAGGCAAGCTGCTTAACTTAATTGGCTGACCCCTTTCCTGAAAAATACAGATTTTCCCAGGAATACTGATAACTGTGAAGCTTTGCTGTTTTTTTGTTTTTTGTTTATGTGCAAGCCATGGTATTCCTTGTGACACTCTATGGATGCAAAAACTGGAAATTAAAGAAGCAGGACAGGAAGTATAGATGCCTTTGAACTTTGGTGTTGGAGAAGACTCCTGAGAATACTAAGAAGGCAAAGGTTCCCCCTGTCCAGTTGTGTCCGACTTTAGGGGCCGGTGCTCATCTCCATTTCTTATGCTTCTGAACTGCTGGGTGGAAGGAGTTGGGACAGGATCAGGAGGTTACTACGTCACGTGGCGCTCAGGTCTAGAACCCAGATGGTTAGCTTTCCAGCTGTCAAGCTCAGCATCTTTAACCACTCAGCCATCACACACACCCCTCCCGAATACAATGGACACCCAAAAATAACCCCAAACTGATGGATCATCAAACAAATCAACCCAGACTTCTCACTCAAGGCACAAATGACCAAGATAAAATTATCCTATTTGGGGCATATCAAAAAAGACTAGCTTGCTAGAGAAGTCTCTAATGCTGGGGAAGATGGAAGCAAAAAGAAAAAGAGGATGACCACCAGCAGCTAGCTGGATGGGCTCAGTTACAGTGGTGATGAATGCAGTTGGGAGACTTGAAAGAATAGGTTAGAATAGATCATCATGGAGAAAATCTACCTGGCCCCTAAGAACTGAAAACAACTTGATGGCACATAATAAATAAAAATAAAATAAATATATTGGGTTTTTTTTAATGAAACAGCACGTTCTCTCTAATTCTGCTTCAGGATAATCCCATATTGTAAGTCAATCTGCCATCATCCGAAGGATTCGGGGGTGTTGGGAACCTAATAAAAATACTACCGAGAGGGTTACTATTCTTAAAGGCTCAGCGGATTCTCTTGCAACGCGTTGAGTTGCTTCTGGTAGCCACTATATTTTTGCACAGAGGCTCCAGCCTGCCGAGTTCCGGTTCAGCTCCCATTGAAAACGCCGTTGGCCTTTCTCCGAGAACTGGTGTCGCAAGAACGTTTCTGAAACCAGCGTAACTTGTACGGATTTTCTTCAGGCGTTTTTCGTGAAAACGTTAGGGAACTTTACTGTCAAAGGAAGTGGGAGTTCAGCGGGCGTTTTACTCTCTGAGAAAAGAAATAAAATCTTCAGACTGGACCAGGAAGAGTGAGATGTAAAGAACCAGCCTCGCTCTTTGGACCATTGTGGGTCCTTCCCCACCCCCTCATCCTCTGTACTCCTCAGACGTTGTCGCTAAGGCTCTTTTTCGCTTGGAGCCCTGATTGCGTCTGGGGTCCCCCCCCCTTCGGTACAAGCTGAATAGAAGACTGACCAGGAGCTGCTATGGGACGAGCGGTGGAAAGCGGTGGAAAGCGACAGAAGCAGCAGGCAAGTGGAGTGGAGGCGAGGCAATACCGATGCGGTTGTCTGGGAGCTTCCGTAGGTTTGCGTGGTTAGGACAGGCTTTCGGTTTGCATTTTTGGAGAACGATAAAAAAAACAAGGCGTAAGAGAGGAGGAAAAAGGCAGGACTGGTTTAATGAGTGGCTGTGGGACGGAGCATCGTCCTCTTAGCAGGTCATCCACATGTGTTGAACTGCAGGCCACTGAATTCCCAGTCTGCGAACCGCCCTCCAGCACATCTGGGGATGTAGAACTGTGCCCATATCATCTGCTAAATTTTTTCAGGAGATCCTTGTCGTTCATTCCTTTGAAATTAAATACGCTGACCCACCTTGCAGCAGCGTGTTAAAGAGCGGAAGAAACGTTTTTCACGTTCTCAAGTACATAACTTACATGTTGTGCTGGTTATCACTAACGCGTCTGGAGTACAGAAATCCCTACGGCCGATGGAAGAGAGCAAAAAGCTACGAAAATTCTTAATTTGGAAAAAACTATGTAGTGGCCCTTTGTGTTTTGTAGCCTGGATGGTTTTTTGCGTGGTTATTCTTCCTGGTTATAAATGGGTATGAACATCTGATATGTTTTGCAGGTAAGGTCAGCTATGGTTTGTAACGATTTCCACAAGACTTGAAAAGAATACATTAGATCATCATGGAGAAAATCCATGTGGCGTATAGTTCTTCTGTTAAGATTTGTTACGCAGTTATTTTGATTAAAATATATATTGAAATATGGGATACTGTTAAAAATAAGTAAACTTTGCTTTCCCCATACTGGCTGGGAAATTCTGGGAGTTGAAGTCCGCCCATCTTAAAGTGGCTAAGGTTGAGAAACACTGGTCTGCAGAAGAATTGCCAGATCTGAATTGCAGAAATCAAGAGGACCCTTAAGCAGCGGCTAAAAGATAGGAAGGCTTTGTTGCCCTCTAATGGTTATCCAGTATATATGGAATTGAAAAAAAATGTATTTTTGCTTCTTGATGGAAACATTTTATCATGTTTTAGGACACAGCCAAATAATACATTTTACAGTAGTATTATCTAGCTAACTTCCTCTTTTCTCCTAGCAAAGTGTTTTGTTTTGTTTTTTGCTCCACATCCAATTGCATCTATTAGCAATATTCCCTTTCCCAGTAATTAATTTTGTGCTTGATAAACTTGAACTGGGTCTATCATTTGGATTGGTTGATTTAGATTTGGGTGTGTTTTATCAGGATTATCTTGATTGTTGCATAGCTAGCATATTTAGATCTCTGTGATGTTTCTGACTGGGCACTTGAATTATTTTCTGTGGGTTGAAGACACTAGTGCTGTGAAAAGAATGTGACTAAATGCTGCTTGCCTTGATAGTCAACCATGATCTTCTCTACATGCCTTCAATATCTTTTGGAAGAATGGCTTCTTAACAATCTTCTTTATATAGTTGTTTACTCAGTGCTGCTGCTTGCTACTATATTGTTTGCCGTTCCACTTGCCATCGTATTATTTTTCTATCTTTCTGCTTTATTCCTCCACCTGTATCAAAGGACTCTCAAACTGAATGGAAATTATTGCAGTAATATATGGGATCCTGTGAAGCTAATTATAGCAACCATATTGGATGGATATGGAAGATTATGGCATGGTAAGCAAATGTGTATTAGTGAGAAACTTAGATTCTGTTACAGAATTATCTACAGTTGTTGGATTGTGTCAGTATAACTGTACTTACAGAGATAGCAGATGTTTTAACTCACAGTATTTTGTATCAAACTCTTCCATAAATTATTTATTCACTTAATAAGTGTATATGGCTGCCTATGTCACTGAACATAATTCTGGGTGATGAACAACCACTAGTTAATACAATATTTGTTTTTAAAATATTATTAGCAATTTAAGTCCTCCAATTGTAATATGCATTATACAAAAGCACTAAAAATGGGAACATTGACCCACATCCAACAAAGAATATGATAGTATTTAATACATTTGACTTATTTGCCTCAGTTTCCTTTATGTGTCTTATTTCTTTGAATTTTGTTGTTATCTGTTTGAAGGCTCAGTAATTGGCCAGTCCTGCAGTACAGGGTAGGGCAATTACTGATTCTTTAAATAATGTCAAATTTCAGTTCCTGGTGGTTGCAAACTTAACGGTGAATGATGGTGGGTGTTAAGTGTACTGCCAGGTCAAGATAGAGTTAAGTCTTCTGTTGATCACCTACCACAGCTGCCATATGCCTACCATTAGAATTAGTTTTTTGCTACTTGAGAAATGCCAAGTATTGCTGAAGCATTTTGTTGCACTGAGAGGAGAAAGAAGGTCACGGGAAGGGATTTCTGCTTCTTTTGCCTCCCAACTTCTACTAACCCAATATGATTGAATATTATGATTCAGTAAAGGAGCCCAAAGACAGTATAGTCTTGATTACATCATAGGATGCTTGGAAAGTGAGACCTGTCACAAACATAAACACAAAAATGCCAGCAGTGTAATTTTATTCCACATTTTTATAGTAGAAAGAATTGGCATTTGGGAAGAGGCTTTTGTTACTAGCCAACTAACCAACACCAAATGGTTGATTATTTTCAGTGCTCCGCTTTTGGCCAGGAGGAGCAGGGGCTCATTAGCTGTTGGTTCTGTTTTCTATAAGGCAAGGGTGTCAAACTGCCGGCCCGCAGGCCAGATGAATCATAACGAATCCGCGCCTACCCCATTGCCGGCAATGGCAAAAAAGTTGCAATACACATCACGTGATGTTGCAAGTTTGACACCCCTGCTATAAGGGCTACAGATTTATAAATACATCTGCTCCAGTAGTATCTTGTGATGTTATTACAAATACAAATTGTAGCATGCTTGTTAGTACCAGCTGAATTTTGACAAGGATGCTCCAGTTGTTGAGTTGAAACACTTGAGGGACAGGATTGTTATCTGCAGATGCTCAAGTTTATGCACCATAGCATAACCTTTTCCGTACTGCCAAGTATTCCTCAGACTGTTCATCTCTAGCATAGGAATCCATCAATGAAAGCATCTCATAAGAATTCTGCTGTGGGTGCTCTGATTGAAGAAGTGAAGCAGTAGTACTTGCTGGTTCTTCCCTCCCTGTAAAATCTGTAGCAATTTGTACCATGATCTTAGAAGGTGGGAGCAGGATAGATAACAAATTCTGGGATAGATCTTGGGATGCAAAAACATAATTAAAGAAAATGTCTTCTCTCTTGCTCAGTCACTGGAATGTTTCAGTGAATGGATTTTGGGGAAACCGTTTCTTAAATGGTTAAGATAACACTCCCCCAAGTAATTATATTAGACATGTGCAATACAGTTTTCTTGGCAACATTACAGAAGTTGTATTACTGAACTTCTGAGAGAGTGTTTTGTTTGCTTTGCTCTGGAATTTCCTATTAGTTTCTAAGTACTTAAGTACTTAAGTCTAATTAGCCAAGATTAGTTAGGTGTCACCACTTGCTATGACTCCATAAATGAAAGAAGTTCACAGAAAATATACTCTTAATTCAAACTATGTTTAACCATAGATGGCAGCTTTACTACATGGAACTTTCAGGCAATTGTTTGATTGTGACTACTTATTAGTTAATCATATCTAAAATATGATTTTCTGCAATAGAAACATTCAGTAAATATGCATGACAGCTTAATTAGTGCATTACTGATTTATATAGCATAATATGGAATAATTATTGATTTATACTTTGCATTTCAAACAGGGTATGAGCTCCATGGCATCGAAAACATACCAGATGGGCCAGGCCTAATTATTTATTACCATGGAGCGGTTCCCTTGGACTACTTGTATTTTCTGGCTAAAATTTTTATTCTGAAGCGCAGGTGTTGTTACTCAATAGCAGATGATTGTCTTTTCATATTTCCAGGTGATGTTTATAAGTTATATTAATATGTATGATGGCAAAACATTTCATTCAGTTTGTTTTTCCAAACTTAGGAAACTTGAAATATGGATTTTTATATGATCAGTTTCTGGTGTTGGTAGCCAGCAGCTGTCAAAAGTTCTCAAAACTCGTTTTAGAAAACACTTTCTATTTGCTAGAAATTGTTGGTTAGTATTAATAATTTAGAAGCGGGTTGAACAAAAGAGTAGGGAAAAATATTCTTATCTATATATGGAACCAGGGCTTTTTTTCCCTCATAGAATGCCCAGAACAGAGTTTCGGCACCTTTTTTTGGATGGAACCTTGTAGGGTAGGCAAGGCCGGTTGTATGACGTGTGTGAGTTCCGGCACCTTTTTTTTTTAAATAGAAAAAAAGCACTGTATGGAACTAACAATTCTATATAGGCCTCTGACATAATATAGTCTGTTCTTAGAATAGGTTGCTCATGAAAAGAAAATGAATTATAATAGTCATTTGGTCATTAGTAGAAGTGTTTCATAAAACTAACCCCAAACAAACACACTGCAGTTCTGGATGTTTTGCAGAATCACTGTAGGTGAACTGGGCTTTTAACATAGAGAACACGTGTGAGCTGAAATGATTTTAAGGGTAGTGTGCATTGCTCCTTCTTTCCCTGCTTTATTTCAGGAGCTCCCAGAATAGATGATGATGATGATGATGATGATGATGATTTATTAAACTTGCATGCTATCTGACACTTCTTTCTGCTACTAATCCATGTTGCTCTGGCTCTAATCTGTGTTCTATCAGAAAATACCCAAATGGTTTAATTCCCTTAATTTGTTTCCACAAACAAGAAACAAAATTGTTTATAACACCTCATCTTGCATTGGCATTGCTCTTTTATATTCTATATTAAATCAATTAGGCTCATTTAAAAACCACACAACTCCATGCAAATTTCAAATTCTCCACGCAAGTACATGGTTAGGCAAGACGGTTAACAAAGTAATATAAAAGTATGCTGTGCCAAATGGCAAAAATTATGCCATTTCTTAGTCTGTTTTTTTTTTAATATATAGGATGGATATATTTTTTGTACTACAGATTAATTTTCAATGTCTTAATGAATTATTGCATAGTATAAAGTTTTAAAATGCTTTTATTTGGCCAAATATGTGAAGTATTTCCATAATGACTTATTTGTATTAAAAATAATTTCAAGGTATCACTTTGAAATGGGTTCTGCAACTGTAAACATATAAAATTAATTGAAAGTATGTTAAATTTTCCTATAACTAGTATTTTACCCTTCAGGTGAAATTAAAAATTAAAACAAATGAAGACTGAAAATGTCTTTCTCCTTTATTTATTATCATGTTGTAACTACCTGTACATAAGAGACAGTATCTTTCCCCAATCAGATCCACACACTTTAAAATTCTGATTTGATCCCCCCTATTATAGCATATTATTTTGTAATCCTGCACTTTCTTTCAGGTATTAAAGCATTAACTGGTGTGACAGGTATTATAGAAAATAAAAAGGAAGAGTGTTTAAATGTCCTCAAGAAAGGCAAGTTACTTGGAATTTCTCCAGGAGGAATGAGAGAAGCACTCTTTAGTGATGAATCATACAAGCTCATATGGCATAAGCGTAAAGGTTTCGCTCAGTTAGCTGTAGATACAAAAGTGGTAAGTATGGTGTTCATATCATTATTAAATCTTTGCTGATTATGGTTTATCAGACAAAACATGATGCTAAACTGGAAAACCTAGTTTTTTATGGGAGTATTGTGGTCGGGTTTTTTGAGAATTAACAGCTCACAAAGTATATTTACTGTAACTGCTGTTTAAAAGTTAAATAGGTAAAGTAATGGTAGCCTATTTCATATTTCCCAATTTTGGAACAAACCGGAATAGCTTTTTATTGAATTCTTCATGGTTATAACAGCAAAACTCTTTTCCTTCAATTAACTTAGGTCCATACTGTATCTCCCCTCTTGTTTATGTCACATCTTCTGCGACTTTACTGCCATCACAGAAAATACTGTTCTTCCATTATCTTAATTATAAATATTTCAGTATCTCAAATATTTTCTTAATATTCAATTATTTAACAAGCAATTTCAATTTTTATATTTTTAACCCTTTGATTAGATATTCATTCCAGTTAAAAAATGGGAAGTACTGATCTATTCCAAAGATTTATGATTAAATAATTGGCATTTTGTGTATACAGAAGGATGATTGAAGCAGGTATCCAGTATGGAGGGAAAGGCCATATTAGAATGAATAATGAAACTAATCATGCAAGTAGAAATAGTTTATAAATACGGTGGTACCTTGGTACTTAATTGCTTTGAAACTCATCGAATTTGGTACTCAATGCATTTTGACGTGAACATTTTGTCCCAGTACTCATTATTTGTTTGGTACTCAATGCACAAGCTTATTCTTTATGGGAAAAAATTGTTTGGTACTCATCATTTCTGGTACTCACATCTCCTGGAAACAACGATGAGTATTGACATACCACTATAGAGCACTTGGAGAGAAAATTAAGTCTCAAACATTTCGGTCCTTTTCTCTTAGATTCCTAACATTTTGAATTCTTTCCTGTTTGTTTTTTCATTTTATCCCTTTAGACCCATTTTGTATTCTTTAATAATCAAGAGTAGAAAGGAAGGCATTATAATCTTATTCAGCCATTTACAGTTCACTTTATTTTTATACAAAAATAAGTATACTAAGTTTACCTATATACTGCAACAAGACTACCTTGCTTGTTAGAACAGAGAATCTATCTTGCATTAAAGTGGAACTTTGGTTCCATTTGTGGTTTGCTGACCAAAATAACCGGATGATTTTACCACTAGTAGTGAATGCTGCGTTTGTCACAAGTATTACTAAAACTGATAATCTAATTCAGTGGTTCTCAACCTTTTTAATGCCGTGACCCCCAACCGGTCGTAAGTCGAGGACTAAACCGGTCGTAAGTTGAGGACTAAACCGGTCGTAAGTCAAGGACTACCCAACCGGTCGTAAGTCGAGGACTTTCCCTGCCCGGGAGTGCTGTTCATGCGTGGTTCTGCCCCCTGCTCCGGCCGAGGCGTAGCTGGCAAGCGGCAGAGATGGAGCAGGCCGACCACTAGCTGGCCCAGCTCAAGGGAGGTAAGGCACCCGCCGGAAAAGGGGGAAAAAATGGCGGACAGCCTTGCTTGGCAACCCCCGTGAAATGGTCGATCTACCCCAAATGGGGTTGCGACCCATAGGTTGAGAACCGCTGATCTAATTGTTATCATCACCTTATTTAAAAGCATTATATAAAATTCTCAATTGACCAAGGCAAGATGGGTAGTGAAGTTCAGTATCCATGGGCCTATCTGGGACTGACTATAGCACATAGAACAGTGACCTGGATGAAAAAGGAATAAATGAAATCTTCTGTGTCATCTTTGCATAGTCTGCACCTCAAGTCCTGTCTAGTGTGGTTGATCCATGCTTTTATGAATCTATTGCTTAGTGACTATTTTTTTTATAAGTTTTATTAATTTTTTTAAAATTACACTTTTTAGAGCTTAGTAAACAACATATTTAACATTAACTTTTTCAATATAAATCTATTCAGTACTACACAATCCAATATTTTTTCCTTGATCCTCCTTTCTTCCCCATATTTTTTTCATTTCCCCCTCATTAGACAATTACAATTCTTGGTACTATTGATGTAGACATCTTAATCATATTTTACTACTATTGTACAAATAACAATAATATCAATTCATAAGTCAATATCCTGGTTTTTGTGTTCTTATTAAAGTTTGATTTCTCATCAATATTTAAAGTATCTTTGTCATTTATGATTTTCTCAGTATTATTTACGTTTATATAGCTAAAAAAATATTCATACCAATCCTCCTCTTATTTTCAAATTCCCCATATCAAAAGAAGAAAAAAATGCTATTTTAATTCTTAATCATATCTTCCATTATAAAAATCTAGTTGTATCTAAGGGTCATCCATATTAAACAGATAGTTCCCCTTCTGATAGATCAAATCCTCTGTTTTTTAAATCTAAGTCTCACTTTCTTTCTTTGCCAAGTAGCTTTCCAGGCTAAGGCAATTAAATCACCCAAAATTTTTCTTTCTATTTTTGTGAAAGCTGCTTGGCATGAGGAAGACAATTTAGGTAGAGTATTTTTAAGGGGGAACTTTGCACATCCACATTCCCTAAACATTTCCCCTGCCTGCTCTATATTCCATTTTCTAGAATTTTCTTCCTTGTCCTCAGGTGTATTTTGGAGAAAGGAGTAAGGGGTCTTTTGTATTTTCATTGTTATGCAGTATTTTATTTATATATGGCAGTCCATATTTCTCTTCTCCTATCTCCTCCATCTCTAGGTCCATTTCTTCTGCTTCATCCTCTATTTTCTGATTTATTTGTTCATACTTTGTAGTTGTTATCTGGGAACTTTCCAGTTGTAGCTTCAATTTGGAGATTTGGTCATTTATATCATCTAGGTTATTTTCAGTCTCTTTATGGATTCTTTTTATGTCTCCTTTGTGTGCAACAATTGTTTAATGAATTAGCTATAGCATGGAGAATATTTCCTTCTGAAAGGTATTAGTTTTTTCTTGAGGCATCATTCCTAGAAATCCTCTAATGTCACCAGTCTCAGAGTGGAACAATGTTTCCTCTAGTTTTCTAGTCTTTATATTTAGCCTTTATAATCCAGTCCTAATGACAAAATTTTATAGTAATCCTTTGTCTCATGTATCCTGAAAATTATCAGTCAGGCAAGGTTGTAATCCACAATGTTCCAAGTGTTCAAAATGTTCAACCTCCCTGCGACCAGACATATTCAAAAGTCATTTTTTTTTCTTTCTCTCCCACTAGCTCTTGAGATTAAAAGTCCAAGCTCAGTAAGTATTTATAGTCCAAGAAGGTCAGGATGATAAATATGACAAAATATTTTCCTTTTTTTCCCCAAACTCTCCCCCATACATATACTGTGATATTTATCAAATATTAACATACATTCTTTTTACATTCTTATATATAAGATACTTTTAATGAAATAAATACATACACATGACTTTTGGTGTTGCTCGCCCATTTCCCCTTTTACTGCATCCCCACTCCTTCTTCTCTACCTTCTTTCTCCCTTCCTTCTCTTTCTTCCCTANCGTTTGTTGATAGCTCAAAATTGGAAGAGTAAAATTTTACCTACAATGGAAGATTGGAGATTGAAAGTTTCGCACCTTGCTGAAATGGCAAAGATTTCAGCTTATTTGAAGAATCACTCAAATGAACAATTTTTATCTATATGGAGAAGATGGATTGTTTATATTCAAAAGAAGCATAGAATAGTGGAATATAATTTAGATTTTTAATTAACTGGTTTTTTTTTCTTTTTTTTATATATATATTTCACTTATTTATGTAAAATTTATATATCTTGTGGAGTTAGAGATATTAATAATTGTTTACTTATATTTGAATATTATCCTGGGATTAGGTTTGGGAAGTCTCGGGGGGTGGGTGGGTGGGGGATGTGGGCGTTTTTTATATTATATTGTGTTATATTTGTGATGTCTTTTTATGATGAAAAATAATAAAAAAAATTTATTGAAGAAAAAAAAAAGAAGAAAGAATAGAGTTTAGAATCAGAGTTAGGAGAAGACGCCTTAGAAATATGGGTTCTGACAGTATCAAACAAACCAGAACCTTATTTTCTGTTTCAAAATTCAATATGTATTGTGTATCTTTGTGTTTGTAAGAGAAAGAATTACCAAACCATAAGAGAACAAGAATAGAACTTTATAAATTGTTACCTTTAAGCAGGTAAAAGGATCCTCTTTTGTTTTGATCCTGATGATAAAAAGTGTTTTTCTTGTATTTCAGGTAATCTTGAACAAAAGCCTCTTGTCCTCCTACCTCATCCTAGAGAAGTTGTGAAAAACATAAAATGAGCATGAGCAGAAGTTGAAGGAAAGCAACAGAGAGCCTGCTATGCTCGTACAGGTTCTGTAAGAGTTGATTGTCTTGCAGTGAAAAATAAAATATTATAAACACAGACAGACAGATTGGCTCACTCAAGTAGCCTATTAGGTAAGGGAATAGAAGAGAGATATGCAAGAGAGGTGAACACTGTGTCTACATGCAGAATAGGGCTTATTCTTGAAAGTGACTGACCCTAAATCACACTGCTGGTCTTCATGCCTAAGGCAGGCCTGAAACACAGTCCCCTGCTTTCTAGGCCAGACCTTTTACCACTAATCAAACTAAAACCAAACATACTAGGATAAATATCACACATATATTGATTACTTTGTTTGGTCTAAGGCACCAGCCTAGAAAGTGGGAGATTATGAGTTCAAATCCCATGTTATCCATGAAAGCTAGTTGGGTGACTTTGATCTAGTTATGTTCTCAATCCAACCTACCTCATAGGGTTGCTGTTGTGAGGAAAATAGAAGGAGGACAGAGTATTAGGTATGTTTGCTGCTGTGAGTTATTTATAAACAATACTATTATTACATTGCTTTTAGACGCACCTACCAAGGCACTTTTTGGTTGAAAGGATTAGCTGATGCAATCACAGTTACCAAGGGACATCTGAGGGGACTCCTTTCATGTCCCCAGTATTTTCCCATTGAAGTAATACCTATTTACTTACATTTGCACTGCT